GCATTAAACTTCAGAAGGAGCACCAGAAGCTGGAATAAAACCTGAGCTCATTCCACCACAGGCCACCAAAAAGCCAAGGTGATCTGTTACCTTTCTCAACTCCTGCACCATGTTAACTACTTCCTCTTTTAGTTCCCTCACTTCAGAAATGAGAATGTCCATCTTTGATGGTCCTTGAGAAGAAGGCCCAAGAAGGAAAGAGCCATTGGGAAGAACACCAATGGGGATGGAGTGTCCAGTGGATGGGGAGAAAGCAAAAGGGGACAAATGTCCAGAAGAGGAATATCCAGCAAAGGGGGTTGGGACCTGAGAAGTGGAGGGTCCAACAGCTGCTGACCAATGAACAGATGAAGGTGATCCCGCTGTTTCAGTTTTAATGGTATGCTGGCATCTTGACTCTTGAATGTTGGTAGAGGTGGGTGAGGTGTGAGGGAGGAAACATGATGGAGAAACTGCAAAATTAAAATTCACTTTGTTGTATATTGACATTTCTAGACACCTGGGTACTAAGGAAATTCACATGAATCAGGTTTTATGGCAACAGTGTGCACTGATAACAATGCCTGTTTTATTGACTTACAACATGCACAGTGTTCTAACTCCACAACAGTAAAATAGATCTCAAGGATTACTGCTGAAATTGCCTGTAACTACGTTAATGAAGTTTGTCAAGCTAGCTCGTAGAAGGAAAGACATAAATGCATAAACTCTGCTTAGTTTTTCTGATATTCCTGTTTTCCTATGATTTATGGAGAAAGTATCTTTACTTATCAGTTAATAAATCAAGATGTTCAGAAGTTCTTAGCCTATTACCTCTGATGTATTTTTTTTACAGCATAAGTAGCTACTTCTGTTACACTTTAAGTAACTCCCACTTCAAATGGAGAAGAGGATTACTATTATTATTATTAAACTCTTTTCCTACACAGTTTTATCTTGCTAAGAATTGCAAAAGCACTATGAAAATTCGATCATGCAGCAATTTCAATCTACTTCACAAGATATTAGTACCTTATTGCAGGAAATGAGATAGACACACACAGAATTCAGTAACAGCAACTTGGGAAAAGGAAGGTTATAGAGATTTACAACACACTTCTGTCTGGATAAATTTCCAATCAGTAAAAACGAAGCTAAGGCACGAGGCAGACATTATTAACATCAGTAGGACACTCATTTGGAAAAAATGAGTTACAAGAAAGAACAAATACCTTATGCAAGATCTGACAACAGACACAGAAATTGAAATCCCAATTGCCTTGTTTGATTTCGTTTCTAAATAATTCAACATCCTCAGGGATGATTCCTCGCTTTCTTAGGCTTTAGGATTTTTGGAGGATTAGTAACTTGGAAAGTAAATAGCAAAGGAAAGGTCTGGAGAAAATTGTGCAGTTACAATTCTTTCTGTTTGCTCTGCAACAAGACCTCACATATGTTTCAAAAATCACGAAAGCTAGAAGCATTTTTTAACTATTTAAGTGTAGAAAAATAATGGCACAAACTACAGTATCTTCCTGCAAGCCTTTGAAGAGAAACTCAAAGACAGTAGAATGGTGCCATGAGCTTCTTTTTTTCTTCAGTAAGTATTTATAATATCATTTTATATACAAGTCAAATTTTATTTATAATACTGATTTTGGTTAATGGAGGGTTTTCTAGGTTTTATATAAGAATAATGCATTTGACCAAACTTACACCACCTAGAATTTCAACTTTTCAGATATGCTTACTTATTTCTACTTAGAATTGAGCCTTGAAACAGTTGACTTTCCCAAAACTTAGCAAGAAACACAACATTTCTTAAACTTATCATGACATCCTGGAAGTAGTATGCCAGGAAAAAAACTGATAACAGTAAAAGGGCAAACTCTGGAGCTTTACAACTGTCTGTGGTATGAGGAAAACTTGAATGTAATTTGGTTAGATTTTTCTTAATTTCACTAATGCCATATACCGGCCCAATCATGAATACTGAAGTCATGTTTCTACTCCTTGTGATGTATGGCTGTGCACTAGAGAATCTGCACAAACTACGAAGATCACAACAGAAGCACTCATACAGTCATCTCTCCAGATGTTCACTCTTCTATCGAACTGCATGGTACATATATATATATATTTTTTTTCACGGAAATATCAAGCATCTGAGAAATTTGCAATAGAAGAAATATGCAAGGAGCTGCCACATATCCATTCCCCACTATACTGGTTTCCAAGGGCAAGCACAGCAGATACTACCTAATAATGTTTCCCCAGCAGTAGGATAACCTCAGAAACTGGCTGAAGCCAAACACAATAAAGGGCAAAAAACTTATATTTCCTGCAGTAAAATACTCATCAGACTATACAGTGGGATACTGGTGCCTTCACAAGAATGGGAGACACTCACATTCTCTGAAAGGCAACCTCACTGACGGGTATCTGATAAAGTTCAATTCTGACCAGTAGTGCTGGAGACTAGGGTACTCAGGCAAGAATGTAAACCCAAGCTAGTAGTTTCTCAGTTTTGGAAACACAGACAGTCAAAGATTGCTTCAGTCCAAAACTCTGGCTACTCAATAGCACAGAAATTAAGTAAAGTAAAATTAATTGGAAATCAACTCAAGCAATCAGAACAATAGTACTGTTTATTGCTGAAAAATGTGGAATGAAGCAGGCAGGTAAAACTGAACAAATTCACAGACTACAGTTCTTAGCAAGCAAAATGACCTAAGAGCTAAAACAGAACTGAGACAGCTGGGAACCATGGAGATCAGCTATGAAAGGTTCCTTCAGCAAGCTTTCATGTAGCACTGCATTTCTTGGAAGCTCCTACAGCTGACACAGAAGCATAAAGGGATTGAGACCACTTCAGAGAAAAACCTTATGCTGTTTTACCATTACCACAAAAACTATTTTAAAGCAAATAAATAAATAAATAAATAATTAGTTGAGGTGAGATCTTGACTCTTGACTCTTACAGAGAATAATAACGAAGATATAATCACAAATCAGGTAACAATTGAAGAGAATGCTCTGCAGAAGGGACAAAACTACTGTTCTTCAGTTTGTGCAGAACCAACAGCAAGATTTTTTTTTAAATCGACAGCAAATACTACGAACAGATAGAAATAAGAAGGAACCCTCAAGAGGAAAAATGAAATATAAAAGAAACAAAGGAGAAAAAAGACAAGCAAGCAACTGTGTGAGAGAAACACGGGTTAAAGAGCAGAGATGAAAGCGCAAGTCAGAGAGTAGGATGAAACATTAAAAGGAGACCAGCTATAACCAAAATGTGAAAAAAAAAAAACCAACCTGTGACTAATCAAATACTGATGCTACCTTGCATGCACAGATGAAAGAGAAAACTTAGAAATAACAACAAAAAAGCCTAAAGCAATATAAAATTGTGGAACACAGGGGTTTTGCACTTGAGTCAGGGTAAGACTAGATACGTATACAGACTGGGAAAGAATTCCTTGAGAGTACCCATTCTGAGAAGGGCTTATGGGTCCTTGCTGATGAAAAACTTAGCATGAGCCAGCGCTGTGTATTTGCAGCCTGAAATGCCAATGGTATCATGGGTTCCTTCAAGAGAGAGGTGGCCAGCAGGGTGAGTTAGGTGATTGTCCCCTTCTGGTCCACCCTCATGAGGCCTCATCTGGAGTACTGTGTCCAGGTCTGGGGCCCCCAACACAGGAAAAATGTGGAGCTTTTGGAGCGGGTCCAGAGGAGGGCCATGAAGATGATCAAAGGTCTTGAGCACTTCTCCTGTGTAGACAGGCTGAGGGAGCTGGGCTTGGTTCAGTTTGGAGAAGAGAAGGCTACAGTGAGACGTCATTATGGCCTTCCAGTATTTAAAGGGAAATTATAATCAGGAGAAAAATCAACATTTTACATGGATCATTAGTGAAAGCACAAGGGATAATGATTTTAAACTAAAGAAGAGACAATTAAGAGAAGCTGTGATGGAGCAAGCAGAAGGAATTTTTTCAGTGGGAGAGTGTGAGGTGCTGGAACAGGCTGTCCAGTGAAGCTGTGGATTCCCCATCCCTGGAGGTGTTCAAGGCCAGGCTGGACAGGGCAACCTGACCTACTACTTGGTAGCCCTGCCTGCAGCAGGGGAGTTAGAACTCAGTGATCTTTGTGTCCCTTCCAACCCAAGCCTTTCTATGATTCTATGATTATTTGATCTGTGCTGAAGAAACAAGATCAATGACGAACATGGAGAAAATAAAGGCAAACATCAGAAGATCAGCAAAGGAAGCAGCTGCACATTTTCTATTTCATTTTTACACACTGTACTGTACATATTCACAGTCTCCAGAGAGCTGCTGTATGTCAATCATAGTACCCATTAACCAATACGTTTAAGTTTATTCAAGTTTTTGCATCACAAAAGTGATGGGAAGTACTATACTGCCACTGAGGTTTATGAAACACTAAGGTAACATAAAGAAAGTTGTAACAAATAACTTCAATGTTTTGACAGTCATCATTTTTCTGTCTGAACAAACATGTTTTTCACCCCTGATAATCTAAGATATAGCAACATTTATCAATATCCTGTTTGAGGGCTCTTAGTGGCTTGTTGGACCTATTCTTAGTCACAAAGTATAAACTAAATATACGTATGGGAGAATGCATTATGGTAAAGCAAAAGCTGTGTAAACTAGCACTGTCTCAACCACTGCATGGAGATATTTTCTTCTTTACTGAAATCTTGCCGGGGTGATTGCAGCTTCATTAGACAATAACAAGTACTTCATTTGCAGCAGCTCACTTCAAATAATATATAATGCATTCACAACACTGAAACACCATCATCTGATTGTTCATACCATGTCCTGTTGGCTGTTTTTTTTAACTAGAAGACCAGCAAATCACATCCCACATTAAAAAAAAAAAAAAAAAAAAATCTTCTAAAAACCATGAATTTATTGCAATAACACAAAGGCAGATGCAGGTATTTATTGTATACTGGAATATACTTTGGGATAAAATTGTCCTGTATTACTCACCTTGATCTCTTTCATGCCATGTCCGACTTCCCGCAGCTGGTGAATTTGGAGAAGGATAAAAGTCTCCTGTCGGGCTTGGCTCCATATTCTCATCTATGGAGATGGTTTTCGGTCTTTTGCTGTTGAAGTAACGTCAGGTTTGGCAGTGAGAATGATACACAGATAGGAACGATATACAAACTTTGTATTTCAACAAAAATATTCAATAGGAGGTAATCCAGGCATATAAAGCACAAAAACCTGGATTTTAGAACTTTCGCAAACAAACACAGAATGTGTTATGTAATAAAGTAATTTGGGCAGGTGATTGCATTCTTCACGTCACTTAATATTTCAGAGATGGCATGATTGGGTAACATAGAAAAGCTGTAATTCTTCTCCATCTACCAGAGACAGCTGAGCAACTGAGAAAACAGTTCCTGTAACCTACCAATGAAAAATTTTCTCGTGAGAATGTTAAATAATACCCAGAAATCACAAAAGCAAAATAAAGTACTGGAAAAGGGTTACTAGTAAAGTTGTCCTATTTTCAGCTGATTTTCTGCATAGTGGCATGTGTGTTGCTATGTTTTGGCTACAAGAGAAAAACAGTGCTCTTAAAACAACATTTAGTTATTGCTGAGGAGTGCTGCATGGATGTCACATACTGACCTACAGTAAGGGAGCTGCTATGGATAAAGGGAAGAGGGGGACAGAGCCACAGCTGTCCTAAGCTGGCCAAACAGATAATCTATACAATGTGCATCATGCAAGAAAAATAAATAAACACTGAGGAGAGTTGGCTAGGGAGGCAGCCGCTGCTCAGGAACTGTATATACTGTATTACTTTTATTACTATTATTTCTCTTTTCTGTCTTAGTAAATACTTCTTATCTGAAGGCTTAAATTCTACCCTTTTTTCTCCAGTTCTCTCCCTCGTCCCCCTGGGAATGGAGAGCTATGTGGTGCTCAGCTGCCCACTGGGATCAACCACAACAAAGGTCAAGGGAAAACAGAAAGTTTTGTGAATGCTAATAAGAGAAAAACATAGCTTATTGTATTCTGCCAGGTCAAAGTCCTAAGCTTTTCAAAGAGCTATAACCTGAAACAAGACTTTTCACTTTACTTTAATTTAACTGAAGACAAAAAAGCCCATATTTCATGTCCCTATATAAAATGAGGCAGCACTTCCATACAGAAGCCATATTTCTCTGTAACAATAAATACTGAAGCTGCTATGCTGACTAATAAAGAAAATCAAGATGAAATTTTTAGTGGTATTATTACTACCACCACTACTGTTATTACTATAGACTGTGAAAATGAATTTATTCTTTTTTAAATATACCAAGTGATCTGACCATCTGAAAATATAATTGCATAAATGGGGGACCATTAACTCAATAACTCAGAGTTCTAGACACTAGTGGAATAGCTAGTTTCTGACAGTCATATTAAATGCTGTCCCACTGTGCAGACATTTCCCAAGTCCCTGGAGTGCAGAAACCAAGAGGATTAGAGATCCTGGAGTCCTTGTGATTTCATGATACATCAGTCAACTGAAGACAGAGAAAGAACACCAGGATTTATGACAGACAGTACATGATCTGGGACCTGAAAGAGGACAAAGAAAATTCTCCACCTCCGTGAGTCTGCCAGCTGCTCCTGAGGTACAGAACCAGGTGTTTCTCAGAGTCAGAAGAGAGGAGCTTGCTGAACCAAGATGAGTCCCTCAGATCAAACATGGAGATTCCAAAGAAAAATCACACACTCCTCCTCATTCCCAATGTCCCTCACTCACTCACACTAGTATTCATTTCAAATTTTTACCTGCTTGGTGGAGAGGATAAAGACCTCTGCAGATTTATACCAGAATTCATATCATGGTAATACGGTTGGCTCGGAAGTTCTCCAATTGGGAAGTTCACTCCAGTTCCTTGGGTTATAGGTGCTGAAAAACATACCATTACAAAGAGTCAAAGATAATCTTCTATCTTTTTAGCCATCTTTTCATTTTTAACAGCAGGAAGAACATCAAGATGTTGCTATGTGCATCTAATTTTCTGCCTCTGGCAGAAACCAAGTACAGACAAGTTTTATCAATGTTCATATATCTAAAAAGTGAAATACCTTCCCCAGTCCCTAGAAATCCCTTAGCAGTTATGCAGACATAATATATTTGTTGTACGTTTTGTTTTATAATGGATAACCTAGAGTCATCAATGTGGAGAAGATAATAGTCTTCACCTTTAGTTTGGAGAAGAAGAAACTTAGGGGTGACCTCATTGCTCATTGCAGGGAGGATGTGGTGATGTGGGAATTGGCCTCTTCTCCCATGTAACTAGCAATAGGACTAGAGAGAATGGCCTCAAGTTGCACCAGGGGAGATTCAGGTTGGATGTTAGAAAATAACTCCTCTAGAGAGAGGTAAGGTACTGAAATGGGCTGCTCAGGGATGTGGTCACTGTCCCTGGAGGGTGTTCAAGAAACATTTAGATGTTGTGCTGAGGGACATGGTTTAGTGGGAAATACTGATGATAGGTAGATGTTTGGACTTTATGATCTTGGAGGTCTTTTCCAACCTTGGTGATTCTATGATTCTATGATTCACTAGTTGGACTTTTACAGTGAATGGGGAAGGGCTTATACAGAGATCTCATATTCTCTGTGGAAGTACTGAAATAACTGGAAAGAACAAACCTGGGGACACAAAACCTCTTTTCCAGTATGTTAAATCTTTGCATTAATAGTAGCGTGCTGTGGTAACAGCATGTTGTGCCACCTTCTTTTTCTTTCACCAGGGCCACACGTGCTGCTTTGCATATGTACACCTACCTACAAATACACATACACTCAGTGTTATCTTTACCTTCTTACAGAGTCTGTGTACCATACGTTTTAGCATTTCAAGAATAAATTACATATTGTACATTGTGGTATACTTAGCTTTATTCACTGTCTGTGCATTGTGCATTTTAACTACCTTTGGCACTTAAAAGAATAATTGCATGTTGTGTAATATATCTGAAGGTTTGTATTTTTCCTGACAGTTAAAATACAACTCTGCTGCGGCTTGAGGTTAAACAAATACGTGGTGAGAAATCCCACAGAAACCACATTCTTCAAAGCTTATTATTAGAAGTATATCATGTATTACAGCTGCAAAAGCTATGATTTTCTAGGGTAACTACAATATTGATTTTTTTAATCTGAATCGCCTAATACTTTTAAATGTATTTAACCAATTAACAACTACAAACAAAGCTGTATTTCACTGACCCTCAATCTCCTAAAACAGCAAAAAGACATCTTCAGCAGGGACAGAAAGAAAGAAAAACAATGTGTTACCATTGCAGGATGGCAATGCTCAGTATTTTCCTGAAGATTTAATATGACCTTAATTGCTGAATATTGATTTCTTACCATGGCAAATGACATAACAGTTAGAACTCAAGCTCAATGAATACATCAAGCATCCTGTCCTGACATGAACTAGTTTCTATGCAAAATTTGAACAGAGAATTTCAGAGTATTCTGTCTCACTCTTTGTTGGTGTCTGTTTTTTGTTTTGTTTTGTGTATTTGTGTGCATAAGATTTCTGATGCCAAAATAAGCCAAGCCAAGGGAAGAGAAGGGAAAAGACCAGTATCAAGAAAAAATCCTTGGTTTAGAAGTGATTAAGTGCAAATATGAACTTACTTCTGGACACTCTCACAAGTTCTGACACGTTGAACACTCCAGATTTTACAAAACTGTCCTCAAGATACACTGAAAAAGATCATAATAACAAAATCAGCATAGTAAGAAAATTAATAAATAACTACAGATAAATGTATACACAAGGTAACAACAGTATTAGAGTACTGAAACTATAGTGTGCAGAACAAAGTACACTGAATGCTGGTCACAAAATTAAATGAAAGCTGAGATTCAGGAAGAGGTGCTAAATTTTCAAGGAGCTGTGGGAAAGCAACTCTTTAATACGTACATGAAAACTAAAAAACAGTATATTGTACTTCTAGTTAACCATCCAGAAATAACCTAAAAATTAGTTCCTTTCATTACTGTCTTTAACTTTTAAGGCAGTATTGAATTAAGAACTGGAATTAAGAACAGTGCAGCAGTTGTATCCTAGTATGCATTTCTCATAGACAATAACTTGACTGTCGTTCAGCTGACAGTGACTTTACCACCTTAGTTACCAAACTGTCACATCTGAGACAGTTGAGAGTTTTACTGTTGCTTCCAATAAAAGCCAGAACTAGGCAAAACAACCTAAATTCAGGGGGATGCTGAACTACAGACACCTAGAAATCTTTATGAAGACATATATAATCAGAGGCCAAAATGGCCTCTGCTTATTTATTCTAAGATAAATGTATATGACACCGTCCCTCTTTCTTCAAGTTTTGGCACACCTTGGGGGGTCTGCAGTTAGAACAGCAAATGATCAATAGCTATCCCAGTAATGTAACTAGATACTGTAAAAAAAAGGGAGCTGAGAAACCCAGTTTTCTGTGGAAGTCTCACACTGATAATCATTGCATGAGCTGACCCAACTGAATGTGAGATCACATGGCAAGGCCCTTACAGGTTGGAATGACATTCATTTGCTACTGGAGTTATTTGGACCCAAACTTTGCACACACTGCTGCTCTAACAGTTATTACTGATTATTTTTGTCATGTAAGAAGGTGCATCAAAAATTGCTTACTGTGCTTCTCTAGCCTCTTTTCTGGATTAACGTAGTTCTTTTCTATTGGAAAACCTTTAGGTTGGATATTGTTGGAGAAACTTTTTCTCTCAAAGGGTGGTCAGGCACTGGAATGGCTGCCCAGGGAGGTGGTGGAGTCGCCGTCCCTGGCAGTGTTCAAGAGGCGCCTGGATGAGGAGCTACGAGGTATGGTTTAGTGCTTCTGGTACTGATAGGAATGGGAGGGTGGTTGGACTAGATGATCTTGCAGGTCGTTTCCAACCTTGATTCTGTGATTCTGTGAAATCTACTGTTAGATTTCTGTTCCAAATGTTAGAATGCATAAAAGTCCTAACCAACAAAAAAAGCACAAAAGTAAAAAAATTCACCTTCCAGAACTGATGTCATTAGGTTTCTTTTGGCAATTGCTACTTTCTTCAAACAATTTTAAAAAATGCTGCCACTATAATCAGAATTTTGACTGTAAAATTATGCTTCACTGGAGAGACCCATCCTTGGTACTTCTGGAGAAATCCCTGCTTACTTTTAGGGATCAAATAAGTATAGCAGAGGGAAAAAAGATCATTTATCACTACTTTTCAATCTTACCAGCCCCAGAGGTCCTCTGCACGTTATTTACCAAGTGGAGTATAAATAATGCACCTAACAACTGAGACAGAAAGAGTGTGAATACTTTCAACTAAGCACATTTGTTATTGCCTCTTCTGACATCTCTGCTACAGTTAGACCTATAAGCCAGTCTCAGTTTTCTCAGCTGAAAAATCACAGGATGAAGTGCAATGGGGGTGCAGAGCACCACAGGTCTGTGGAACCACACAGTGATACAACAATCATTGTCACTTCATATGATGTCTTTATTTCCAGCAGCAGTTCTATGGATCTCCCTCTCTCCCTCTTTCTCTCAACAATTTTTCTCCATATCTACTACTTTTTCCCCTCTTATTTCTAAAAAAATACTAGTACCTTTCTCTTCCATCTTCTACATTCCCTTGCACTCTTTCTTCATATTTTCTATTTGGATGGAAAAATGATATGGCTTCTCAAATATTTATTTCTTTATTTGACAAAATTTGGCACACCCATATCATTTAAAAGTTACAAAGAGTTGATGTTTCTTTCTCCTTTCTTCCTTAGATCTCATTTTTCAATCTGAAATTGACAAGTTGGACAAACAATAGTAATTCCTCTGACAGTGGCAATCTTTCCCTTCTCTGTCTATTTCCTTCAGCAGGAACAGAATGAAATGCTGCATGGATGGGAGATTTCCAAAGGGAAATTTGGTTTCATGTTTTCATTTGGCCTGTATGTGAAGTGTGGCTTAAAGCCAGTGTACAAACATGCAGCCAGCTCTGGAGTTGGTAATGAGACAAGACCAAAATTTTGTGCAGCTTATCCAAATACCTTTACTTTGAAGGACATCTTCGATCACTCAAGCTGTGCTAAGAAGACTTTTACCAAAGTGTATATTAGTCAAACTATCATTGCAATGAAAACAATGAGTACCAAAGTTCATTATATTGGAAAAAAAAAAAAAGAAAGAAAATGTTCAGGCTTTTTTACTGCTAATACTTACGGTGCATGACTTAAAGAGCAATTTAACATGTTTCTCTCCTTGTGGAGATTTCTCATAATAGAATGGGAGCAAAAAAAAAAAAAAAAAAAAAAAGTGTGCAACCACTACTGACAACTCAATCATTGCAAGACATACTTTTGACTGATGAATCACTTTCACCCAGGTTTCACCAGAAACAATGACACCCACATATATCTGCAAAGGCTTTCCTTAAAATTAGGAAGGGAAAGGAAAATGCATACCCACTGTCAATCTCAATCAACTTAAAAAAAAGCTTGATTTTTTTTCAGTGTGTAAAGTGACAAAATATTACCAAAAAATTGCCATGACAAGAAACACTCCCTCACAGGCACTGAGCAACCTCATTATACATCTGGTGTTCTAATAGGGAAGTTTAATGTCAGTGGTGCCTGAGAATGCAGAAAGTAATCATAAACATGGCATGTTTAGTTCCAGAATCACTGGATTTTGACAGCTTTAACCAACTAAGAAACCAATCTATCGTGGATACAAAGCAAAACTGTTCTTAGGTCCCAGCTGTGCATAATAAAAATGTTTTGTGCCATTAAACTGCTATAATTTGTGACAGGGAGGTACTCTACATATGACAAGGAATAAACAGCAAGATTCTGTATGGAGCAGGACAACTCCGTAAGGCATTTTGATTTTTATAATGTTAGACAATGCTTTTCATCTTGTGAAACTGGTCTTCCTACTGAACAAGATATAACATTCGTATTCACATCATTACACTGGAGAAGGCTCTGGGGAGACCTCATTGTGGCCTTCCAGTCCTTGAAAGGAGTGTATAAGCAGGGAGGGAAACGGCTGTTTACGAGGGTGGATGGTGGTAAGACAAGGGGGAATTATTTTAAACTAAGGAAGGGAAGATTTAGGCTAGATATTAGATAGATATTATTATGAGGAAATGTTTCACACAGAGGGTGGTAACACACTGGAACAGGTTGCCCAAGGAGGTTGTGGATGCCCCATCCCTGGAGGCATTCAAGGCCAGGCTGAATGTGACTCTGGGCAGCCTGGTCTGGTGGTTGGCAACCCTGCACATAGCAGGGGGTTGAAACTAGGTGATCATTGTGGTCCTTTTAAACCCAGGCCATTCTATCTATGATTCTATGATTCTATACTACATGCAAGGAGACATGCAGTGATATCTGCACAGTATAGGCCTTACTGTCTTTTGACTAAGCGTTTTTTAAAGTACTGCTTTCATTAGCATCATTTATTAATGCCTTTGAAGCCTTAAATTAAAATCCTTGGCATATGTTTTAGATCTGTTCAGTCCACAAAATAACACACTTAAGAATATTTTGTTGTTGTATTCTTCATATAAGATTTACTGTATTTTTTGATGGTCATGATAATACTTTGCTATCTGTGCTTTTCAAGCCTAATATAAACATGGAGTACTATTATTTACCAAAACTCAACCTGCCTGAGAGATGACACAGTCTGAAATACATTACAGTTATCATTATTTGTTAACTTCTGAGTAATTTAAAGAGAATATTTCTCTTTAAATTAAAAGAGAATAGTGACTTCCAACATCCATAAGCAGTTTTTTTATTATTATTATTATTTATTTCCTTTTAGTTTCTGTTCAAGGACGGGAAAAAAAAAAGTCTTTCATTATCCTTTTTTTTTCAGAATAGTCATTTATGAACAACACATTTACCAAACTTAATACTACTGTGACCAGACTGATGCAATTAAAGCTAAAAGATAAACAGGTCAAGCCAAGCAGCAATTCTATCAAATTTATCTCATATATTTAGCAATCCACAAAAACCTTTAATAATTCTCCAATTGCTACTGAAGCAACTTCTTTCTCAGTCATTATACATCTTCCTGTTTATTCATGCATCATGCATTCAGTAGCTGAAGTATAGCTATAGCCTTCAACAGGTTATGATTTAAAATGGAGAAAAGATTGTTAAAAACTATTGAAACTATTTTCAGTTTGTACTAACATGTACTGTGCAGGGTTTGTTTTCAAATTACTCAAAAGCTTACAAGTGACACAGGCTTTACAAATCTTTAACCAGCCTTTTTAATGTCTTCTGATTTAACTGTACTTTTATGGATATAATGTCGGTTTATATTCTGCTATATATTGCTAAAAAAAAAAATTAATATTGGTATCACTAAATATCTATTTTTTCACTGATACAAACTTGAGTTTGATAAACTAATAAGGCAGGAGTAAAGAATCAATCAGCGCAGGAAATAACTTGTACTAAAGTACTTTAACTTTTGGACCTTTAAAAAGGGAAATTGTAAAGAAATAGGTAAACCTAATAGTAGTGAGCCAGGGTCAATATTAGGAACAACTGTCAGAAGAGAGGATGGAAGCCTCAGCCTAAATACTAACAAAGCTGAAACTTGACTTTAAACTAGGTGACATAGTGATTCTCCAATTTCTGAAACTGTTACAATTACAGGTTAAATAATTTTGTTGTATTG